TTACTACCACACCAAAATTTTCCTTGTAATAAACAATTGTATATATACACGATATTCGAAAATACCTCATAGTGATAAAGAAATTCTCATCAAATGTATGAAATCGTTTTTCGGTACATTTTGTTCTGAAGTTTCTGTCGTTTTTAACAAGTATTTTTTTAATCAAATTCTTTTGTATATTTCTGCACTAAACACTTTGCTCTTTCTAACAAAACAAAAAAGAAGAGATCTCTACGATATTCTACTATTTGATGTTCGAAAAGTTGATACGAGTCTGAGCTTTCTTTTTTTGCAAAATCTTTTTTGATAAATTGCGTAAGAATCTTTATTCAGCTAAACAAATTAACCTTGCATCCAGATGAAACAACAAGCGGTGTTATAAGACTGATGACAACAATAAAAAAAAATATTTGAGAAGAAACAAAATGAGTCCAAACGTGTTAAGATAACCCTATTCGAGTGTTTGGATTTATTGTGCATTTGTGATTGATGGTGAATGTTCATGAATAATTTGATGTTCGATTGTACCTCTGTCGTTTTGGACTGCTACTATAGATGACATTGATCGAAGTCAATATTGAATAATTTCAAAAATAATGAAAATGATTACCATCCAAACCGACATGATAGTAACGATGAGTGTGTGTATAGGTGTCCATGTGCGTGTCAGTCATCTTTTCATTTGCACCTGCACATACCCATACCTTTATTTACTTCAAATTCATTTATTGTCATCAACAAAGTTGTAGAATGACTCATATTTATCAAAATATATCCAGCACATGATTATAGTTCTGTAATCGAAAACAAATACGTGAAACATATTTGTTTGCTCCACCATCTGCTAAAGAGTTATCGTATAATAAAACTAGGATGTTTTTTTGTTCAATGCTGAATAATGATAATAATCATGATTTAGGATCATTTGATACTTCTGCAGTTGGCTAGAACTGTGTTCTATGCAAATTCGATATTAATGCTTGTTGTGCATCGAATATTTGTATTAAGAAAAAGTTTATTCTAGATAAATGTTTGGAAATTAAACTAGACAAGTCAAATGATTTATTAATTAGAACTGATTATCTTTTTAATTTAGCCAAGCAATTAGAATTTGTTGCTTGTTTTTAATATTTTGTATAGAACAAAAAAAGAAAACAGTAATGTTTATTTCTTATGTTAATGAAGAAGATTTTTAGTTCTTTTATAAATGACATTAATATATAAACTCTCAAGAGTTTTAAATATATCCCATTATTTGAGCTTCGCTATATTGAACTGCATTACCACTACCACGTTTTGAAGTGACAAGAAGTCGATAGCTACTAAAGGCAATTGTATTTGAGAAATTTTGTTGAGAAAGGTATGTATTACGACCAGGATCAATTGATGGATCAATACCTGTTGAACCATTGTATATCAATGTCCAACTTGCTCCAGAATTGAGACCTACACTACTTGTTGCATTTGTGCCTTCAAGAGTTACTGTTATTGGATCACGATCGGGACTATCATTTGCAGTCGCAAAAAGAAGACCAAGAGCAATAGTTGTATTACTTATAGCAGGTGTAATATAAAATCCAGTATCAATTCCAGCAGGGCTTGAACTAGAGCAACTGGAAGATAAACTTCCATAATTGAGATATTTTGTGCTTGTTGAACCATCAATGGCATCAGATGGGCTTTCATAGAATGGATAGCTGCTGCCAGATGTACCAGTAGATCCGCCAGCTATTGTATTACATATGCCAATAATTGAATCACCTGCTTGTGTTATGGCCACGATTGGACGCGCAGTGGTCGTGGTAGCTGTAAATTTATATCAATTAAAAATTACATTTATATTAAGAAATCTTAGTTAGAATCTCTTATCAATATTACTTTTAGCATCATTCTCGGCTAGTAACGATAGATAGAATGATAGGATCTGTTCTTCTCGTAGTTTTTTTTATACCATTTTATGAAGCTCAACCGAAACTCAGTTAAAAAATCATCAATACAAATATGCCAATATGTAACTTTCAACACACTATTCTAGTAATCTGACTTTGTTATTCATTTGAAGATATGTAGCATTTTACTAGAAAATTATCTATAAATATTTGACTATATTCTTTATTATCCCTGAATTCATACAGTGAATAGACTAGATCATAAAAAAGGAATAAAAATTATTTCTCAATTTAGTTAGTTATTCTCGTTAAGCTTTTCAAGAATATCAACAATCATCTATACATTTTGAAAGGACCATTTTATCGTTGAAAATCTTTCGAAAAATTGAAATACTTGATATATCATTATAAAGCTCTTATCAGTTATGGTTGATTCCGTACTTGTTGTGACTGTTGTTGTCGTCGTCGTCCTTGTTGTTGTCGTTGTTGTTGTTGTTGTTGTCGTTGCCGTTGTTGTTGTTGCTGTTGTCGTTGTGGTTGTCGTTGCTGAAAAATGAAGCAAAACACCTCATACGAATAAGTTCATTTCATTGTAACTTCTTAGTCATTTGTGGTGTATTTATAGGATTTGTTGGCAAAATCGACATCTGACTTATTATCATAGATGAAAGCTGTTAGCGCAATCAGTGTGGAATTAAAATGTGAAATACTATGTGACTGTTGTTATTATTCATATGAAAACTCTTTGAGGCGATTTATTTTGTGACACATTTCATAATTATCGTCTACTTAATCCTTTAGAACTTCAATAAAAGATAGTTTATAAATATTCTAATGAGATGTTAGTGATATATGGTCTTTAATCATATATTAACAACATTGGTGATGGTCCCTGAAGCCCACTTCTCACGGTCGTTGACGAAGGGAGGTGGGTGCAAATTTCTACCCTTATATACTTCAACATTTGCTTCACATCGTGTTCCACAAAAAAATGGAATCGTCAAGAGAGCACTGTGCCAAATAGCACATATTCTTGTCTTTGATTACCCATGTTGTCAAAATTGTATCTGCGATTAATCACAAAATTTCAAAAGCAATGATGTAAGAATTATTTTGCATAAAAATTATTCGTATATTTTTTATTTCTGAAAGCAAGAAAAACTAAATTTTTATGATTTTGCCTTACAAAAAAATATTTTCAATATTTTCGTGGTATAGTATCTGATAAATATATCGGATTGATTATTTACTGTCTGTTTAGTTTAAATCAATAAGAAAACAAGCATGAACATTTTATTTTTCTAGTTCTTGTATGATTCATCTCGTTTTATTAGAGAAACTATTTTAATCCATCATAACTTTCCTCATAAGTATATTATTTTAAGAAAGAACTTGTCTAATTTTTATTTAGATCAATTTCAAGAACAATGATATGATTACTATTTTAAGGTATAAATTGTTTTCTTTCTTATTTCGATCAATCCTAATAACAGCTTCATCAATAAATATAGTTTAAGTAAACAATTATATTTGTATATTTACGAGGGAGGGGAAGGGGAAAGAAAAATTCATCTTTCTCACTTAGGAGAAGCTCATGAGGATATAACAGTAAATGACATCATATACGAAAGTTTACAATATTCATAATTCTCGTACTAGATTCCTAAGAAAATCTCTTAAATCCCTAGAGGTAATTCTTGTCGTGATTTCTCGAGCAGTTTTTAAGGGACTTCTCGGGAATGCTTTTATAAAATAATTGACTAGAGTTACTCACTCATTAATTTAAAACAACTTGTAGGCTAATCCAAATTTTTTATAAAAATCAGAAAAAAACCAGCAAAAATGGTCAGTTTAAGTGATTTAACCGGCCTTATAAATTGCGAGAAAATTGCTGATTTTTGCGTGATTTTCATGACACGGGTAAGATTCGAACTCTTGAAGAGATTTTTTTTTGATAAGAAGCAAGATCTTTCAGCGTATCCTGCGTATTTCATTTATACAGATAATCAGTGATTGTAGCTTATATGTGTGTAGGTATATTTCTCTATGCATTGATTTGACTGGATATCGATTTTCATATTATTGCTTAATTGAAAATTCTGAGGACTTCGACAAGTTTAAATGAAATTACTTTTCAACAAGATCTATCTATACGTAAAAATCCTACGTTTCACTATTGCATCCGCAGTGACATTAAACTGCGGGTCTGAAAAGACTGAAAACTAGGCTAGATGATGTTCCATTGTAGTGGTAGTATGATCATAGACAAGGGTAAGACCTTGGATCTCTGAATTTTGTAACAACAATCTAGGTGTTAGGATACAATAGAGATGATTCCTTCAGAGGAAAGCAAAAGTGCTACATCCCATATGGCTCACAATGCACTTTATGAACAGTCCTTTATTAATCGACCGAAGTTACAGTCCCTGATTGTTATTTTTATGAATGTTTCTGGACTTCCATTGTACACGAAACGGTTCAATAGAGTAGCGCAGAAGAATGAGGGAGGTCTACACCTTCAAAGTGAGTTCGATGACATTACTGGATATGAGTCCGGGTCTTCAGCCCTTTGCAAACCAGCCTCTGTAACCATACGTAGGTTCTTTACTAGTCTAAAGATTTGTGCCTCTTCGGTCTACTGTAATTTCAAAGGCTTCAACAGCCTTAGAATTTGGTGTACAGTTCCATGGGTACCACAGGTGTTAGAAAGGTAGATGATTGTTAACTGTAGTATAGTTGTCACTCGTGGCACCAGTAGTAGGTCAGAAGCTTTGCAAATAGCAATGGCAACAAACGCAGCAACCTCTCCCACTCAAGCTGTATGAAAATCTTTCATAACTGTGACAAAGATATTAATCTTACTGTCACTAGAAAGGAATGATGGGTCGCACTAAATTGTGTGACGATCTGTGTCTTTTTTAGCCAGAGCTCTTCCTAGCATCTGTTAGAACAAAGAAAACAATTTATTTCTAACTATTCAATAAAAAGTGGTTTTCAGAAAAACTTCGGTGAGATTCTGAAAAAAACTTTTTATTGCTAAAGTTGAAATCAGAATAGTCAAAATCCTATAAGAAATGAGTTTTGAATTAGAACTAGGTAGTTTTAAGTTCATTTTCGACTTTGGAAAACGAAGACTTCCTAGAAAATACATTTTCAAGTACTTTTTAGTTCTGGAAAGTATTTGATCAGAAAGAGCACATGCAAAAATCTATCCTCTAGAATCAAAGATAAGCTCATGGAAGTGAATTTAATGACGAATTTCACGTTTCACAACCCTTGCATGAACAAAAGAATAAAATACTTGATGTTATAACTGAGTATTCAGCTTTGACTAGTGATTCATTCAGTAGCATGATGCTATCTTAGAACGATACTCCGTTATTACGTATTTATTGTTGTAAAAATCGACATCGCTGAAAAATATCTCCTCCGAATTATAAAAGTAACTGCAAGCAAAAGCTGTTTAGTACAGACCTGAAATATCAGTAGTCGGTGTTTGTACTCCTGTAAAGGGAAAATCTTCATTATGAAGTAAGATTATCGATAATCTCAATTTACCTTTCAACCATATTGTTAAAATTACCGCGAGAGCAATGCTGCCTAGTAGAGAACCAATTAGGCATCCTGTAAGACAAGCTTTACATGTTGTTAACGAATAAGCACCAATGCGTGTTCTATAAAAGAAAAAAAAATTGAAATGAACAACACCTATCGAATAAAGAAGAAAAAAAGTTACCTGACATATTCTTTTCTGTTGTCTGATACAGATTGACTTTGATTATTGATATTTAATTTATCTTCTTTCACGGTCCATGCATTGCTATTCACTTCGACTGACGATTTCAATGCTGGTTTAACATGTGATATGCTTCTATTTGATTGAGATGATCCTATATTTCGATTGTCCTTAGTTGCTGAAAATTGATCATACAGTCGAGGATGAACTGATATAGTAAATGTATTACATTCAGAGATATTAAAGTTCTTAGTCAAATTACCTGATTTTTGAGTCTTGTAGTATCTGATGAGGACACTATCACATTTAGTTTCGTTATTCTGAACAGATAAACGAAAAATCTCAATTTCTGAAACATTCACACAAGAATCATTTGCACTTACCATAGAGATTATACGTTTACTTACTCTAACAGTATAAACTACAAAATGAAGTATACAATATGAATATAATCTAATTTTCAGGTGAGCTTAGAAAGCTTTTCGATTAAAGAATCCTTATATTTTATTTCACATTCACAATAGGGCAGAAATAACAAATCTTTTCTTTTTATGCATAATAAAACAATGCTGTATGCACAACATCAATGAATATTTTAATTTGATTAAAAAAATCCTTCATCATTTTCAATTTAAAGGAAGTGGCATGTTCTGCACCTCTGCAGCTTACATATATTCTTGAAGAAAGTAGTAAATGTAAATTTTACGTCGAAGTTTTGTGGCTCTCTTCACACCCTTTTCATTACAGACCTCAACAGTTAAGACTAAAGGTGCTGAACAACATTAATAACACGGTTAAGAAGATTCTACAACATTCTAGAACCTTGCTTGAAATTTAAATTGCTGAAATACATTTTTCAATTTTCTAAATAACGCAGTTTCTATTTTTTTTTTGCGCAGATAAATGATTATATGATAGATATCCAGGATGATGTTTTTATTTCCCACAACTGCCGTATGATCCACATAAAAGCATGAACTGATTAAGTTCTAGTTTTTGGGGAAAAATTAATATCAATCTTTCTAAGTTTATGAAAATACATAATAGATTGTGCAGATCTGCTGTTGATATAACGAATGTGAATAAAAGGCTTATTTGTCCACTAAATCAATGATTAGACTAGTAACAATAGATTATGAAAATGAAATAATAAAAAAAAAACATTAATACCATACAAATAGCAAAAAGACAAATAAAAAATGAGAGTCAATAAAAAAAAAGAAATAAAACTGCTTTTCGAAATATAGAAATAAAAAAGAGAGCGTTTGCTAACAGTTGATTATCTTTGAAAAAGAACTGGCGTTTTTTAGAGATTTACGATTTCTCATATTTTGTATTAGAATGTAGATGCAGGAGTCGATGTGCTTTTAAATGAAGTTTCACACCCTCTTTTCACTGTCTAGATCCATACAAAGTGTGGGTGTGGGGCGTTGGTGTGGGATGTGGGGGCGATTGCGAATATTTTTTTTATCGACACTCACCCACACTAACACCGACTCCACACTCACACACCGTTTATCTTAGAAACAGAACAAGGATACAAAATGTTTTTTTCACCAGTGGATAGCTTACGGTATTGTCTACACAAAATATATAGAGTTTCTTTGATATCATGTGTTCTAAATCTTCTATAACATTTTTATAAATGGTAATCCTAGTTGCCAATGGGGATAAAGGGTTAAACCTGCATCGAACCAATAATGATTTGTTTAAAATGTCAGCTAACAGCTGAAATATAATTGAGATAGATAGAATGCAGTCGAAATCTGGAAAATCCTGAATCCGTAACAATTCGACAACAATCCGGAAACCAGAAAATATCTGGAATTTTTCTCGAAAATCTGAAAGATCTGGCAACTCTGACCGCTTCACACTCGTCCATAGCCATATTCACACTCACACCCACATCCAGTCATAAACTAAACCCATAACCACACCTCACTTACACCTCACACCCAAATCCATACCAATATACACATCCACCCCACACTAACAATCACATCAACGCGCACATACACGTGTATATTCACATCCACACCCCAGCCCTCACACCCACACCTCACACCCAAATCCATATCCCCATGCGCATCTAGACTCACACCCCAAACCCCACATCCACACTCACACTCCACTACACCGCAGCATTTCGATTTTTGGATCATTTATTTCGCTGTGCATCAGTTTATCATAGACAGCTCTTACAACTTTGCTATTGGCTTACTTCTTTTTTTTTGTAATTAAATCAAACTAACCAGAGTCAAGATTGAACTTGGGTTCGAACCTTCGGATTCGGTACATGCCTACTTGTACTTAACTTGAATGTGACATCCCTACTTGCCAATACAAGAACTGCTGTGTTACAATGCATACCAAGAGTCATCCGATCAATAAAAGATTACAGCGAAACAAAAAAAAAATTCCAACCTGATGCGAGTGTTGATACAAGACGATGTCGAGTATATGACATATTGGACGATGGTGGGATTGATTAGATTATTCCTTTTTTGCATAATGTATCGCAAAATACTTACCTTCCTACTGCTCTTTCTTCTCGGTGTGTCCATTGGACAAATTACAGTGGCTGTGAAATATAGCGAATGTTCGTTCTAACCTCAACTTCCTAACTATCTCAAAGCTTCTGGTGGTCTCGGTATTGCTCTTAGTGTTATCGGTGTGATCGTCGTAGCGACTGCTGAAGACAATAAGAGCAAGAGGATCTTAGGTTTTTATGATTTAGCTCAGTGTTTTTTTATTCGCCATAAGCATTCCTGGAAGTATTTACGTGTTTGACGCTTTACGTAAATCACAAAACATCAATCCTCTCCTATCTACTTACTATCGCCAACGATTATGGGGATCAACCCTAGGCGTTCTTCTTGCTTCGTACGTTTTGACGGGTCTTTCGGTCCTCATTTCTATTATTCGTTTTGTCAAAGATTAAAATGACATGATGCTGGGCAGAACAGTCCACTTTTAGAAAAAAAAAGCATACCGACTTTCTTTTCATAAAATAAGATGATAGAATTGTTTCGATTATATATATATATCCGCTATAGTCAAAAAGCAACATATTGACATATTCTAGATTGAATTTTCTTTTATTTTTATATTTATTATTTTTATCTTGCATAAGATTAAATTATAATTATATTTATTTCGCCAATGTTGTCTGCTGATCTCCTAAGGGCGGGGATGAATACAAAATTATAGCAACCACCATACATTTCGATTCGACCAAGGATGTCATCAGTTAGTTTTAAATTCTATTGTATGTGTCAAATGGGTAGTAGATGTTCTATATAGTTGTATCTCTGTAGTTAATATCAAAAAGGAGATCGTATGAGGGTGTGGATGTGGGTGGGTGCACTGTAAAAAATAGGCGTAGAATAATAAATCTTTCAAAGGGGTTTATTAACCTTATAAACGCTTTCATATATCCTTTTAGTGTCATAAACCCTTTCATATACCCTTTTCCTTCATAAACCCTAGGAAGGGTATGTTATTCGTCGTAATTTTATAAATCCTTTAGGGCATATGAGCTGTAATATACCCTTAAAGAGTTTATTAACTTCATAAACCCTTGGAAAAAGCGTTTATTAATATATTATTTAGAAGAAACCGTAGAATAAAAAACCCATTTCCGAATGGTTTATGAAGGAAAAGGGTTTATGACACTAAAAGGGGTATATGAAAGCGTTTATAAGGTTAATAAACCCTTTTGAAGGATTTATTATTCTACGCCTATTTTTTACAATATGTGGAGTGTGAGTGTGGGGATGTTGGTGTGGAACTTTTTCTGCTCTACAGCAACATCCACATCCACACCCTCAAAGAGAATGAATGACAAACAATTGTCAGATATGAGAGAGAATAGAATTTTAATCTCGACATATACGGCTTGATATACGGGTTTGTTCTTTGTATTTCTTAATGAGCTGTGCATGGGGAATAGTTCCTCTAAAAACACATAATTTACTTCTGAAATTATTGGCATCGGAGAGAGCATATGATTTAGCAATAAAACAATTTTCGAAACAAAAGATGATTCTTTTATTCATGGAAAATAGGGGGAGAATTATTATTAAAAGAGTTATTGCTGTTTCAGAATAAATAGATATTCATTGCACATATCTCAAAGATAAAATGATTTTTAAAAGTTTGAATCTTTTTATATGATTTCGTTGTTTGTCTTACAACTTAATAAGTGAAGTACTAACACTTATAATATAGTAAGAAAGGTATTATATATTATCTTGATTAATTTTTCACGATTTGTTTGAATAGAAAGCATAAATATTTTAAATCAAATGTGAGCAGCAAAAAAAGACTAATAGTAATCATCATCGTGTGTCATTTCCATTATATGATAATTTGGAGCCATTATTGCTCCCATATGACGTAAACTATCCATTTGTATTCTATGCATTTGTCTTTGATGTTCTCGAGCATCTTTTGCTTCTTTTAAACGTTGTTGCCAAAATTGGTCCAAATTTTTTTCTTCTTGTTCTTTTACTTGTTGTGCATCTTGTAACGTATAACCAGTTAACGGATCATATTGTTGATTTGGAAATTTTTTAAGTACTTGTATTGCACGTCTAGCCAAAAATATACGATTACTAATTTGTAACCATGGACTTTGAACAATTTTGAATTCATGATTAGGATGTAACTCATTTACTTTATGATAGCAGGATTCACATAAATCATAACTTTGACGACATTCATCACATTGATATCTAATACCTTTAAAGTTCACTGTTTCACAACCATCACATGATGTATCATAATGTATCAGCATATGCTCATCCATTGAATAATTATCTTTTTTAAATGTATGTTGTGGTGCATGTTCAGTTTTCATCAAATTTATGCATTTCGTACAAATATCAAAACCATTTGGACATTGTTGACATGAATAATATCGCTCTTTATTTGGATGTAGTATAGTTAAACAATGTTCACAATAACTTGTTGGCATAGTAAGATAATCATATCTTTCAAAAATTGATGTTTCCTTTTGATGAGAAAAAAAAATCAATGTTAAATAACTCATTTCGTTAATTCCATATAAAGATTTTGCCTTTTGGAACTTTTTAACGAAATAACAATTTAAAATTTTTTTTTTAAATGAGACGTTTCAATTCACTATTTACTTAACATCCTTTTCTGAAATATGTGGACATAAAAAAAAAGTACTTTAAACAATATATTTGTTATGTGAAATTCTAAATGAAGTTAATTTATGTTGAAAACTCAGACTTTTTAAGACGAAAATGAAACGACAAAATATCAAAGAAACAGTTTAGTCAATCAATGCACATCTCATGTTATCTCTATATTTATTTCCAAGTATGTATCTTTCTTTACATGGATGATGTATTAAAACTTCTGATTTTTAGATTTTTTCTTTACTTTAGGAATCACAAAAACTATAAAATGAATCTTTATTTTTTTTTGGTTAAAATTAGCAGTAGTCCTAAGTATTTTTCGAAAAAGCTTCTAGAAAACTTATTAAGTTGTTCCTAAAGAAAATATAGAAATCAAAGGCAGAACTTCGACAATCACTAAATTAAAACACAACTCAAATATAGAGAACTTTAAAGATTTATCCAGTGGACTATTTGAAACAGTTGAAGATGTGTAATAAAGATAAAAATTAAAAATATTGTGACTTCACTGTTGCTACAAAACGAAGAGATACACGTTTTTTGCTTGAAAAATCGAAACAAAATTCTTTTACATTATTTGATTAGATTACAGAACTACATAGTGTAGGACTGGTGTTATAGGATAAGTCATGTAAAAAATGGCAAAGATTAATTTTTACCGGTGCTGTAGCTACATTAGCTGATGCTAATTTTGTCGATAATTTTTCTATTTCATTCTGTTTTTTTGTAATTTTCATTAAAGTATGTATTTGTTGTACATTTGAACATTTTTTACATATATAATGTAATTTACATTCACGACATTTATAATAAGATTTGCTTTCAGTAGAAACTGCTTCTCCACAACTTGTACATAAGATAGAACGACTTAAATAAAAGGAAAACAAAAATATTTGATAGAAGTATGTATATTGAAATTTATATATATATATATCTTCTTACTTATATGAAGTCATTATGATGAATTACTGTTAACTGCTTTATTTAGTATGCTAAAAAAAAAAGATTTTTGCAAATGGTTTATTTAAGTTCAGAGCTCTCAGTTATGAAAGAGATGACGAAAAGAGCTAACTCGCCAAATTTTCGCCGTTATTTGCCAAAAAGGTGCCAAAAGGTAGCTAAAATTTGTCGTGCTAGCTCTTGCCTGACAAACGGGTACCCTGTTTATATAATATATTGTTTATTCATATATAGCATTCGCATTGACTTTTTTGCTGCCTTTTCTAATAATACATTTATAGACGAATGATTTTCCTTGCTTGAATAAATAATTGCAACAGCAATGTGCAATCGAGGACATCTTCCTGGACTTTTTTGTATAACTTTTTTATATAACTTAGAAAAATTCAATAAATTTATTTTGTTCTATTCGCAAGTTTTTCTTAAAAAAACCTGCTATTATCCGTTTTATATGGTCGTAGAAAGTGAACCAAACGTATGAACCAAAGAAAACGTGGCTCACTTCATATAATGAAAAGTACACTAATCAAATTGGGATCCATTCATTTTCTCCCCACCTTCTGACAATGCTACCAGAACGTCATAATCCTTATAGCTAGCCTAGATGCGGGTATGGATGTGAATCTTCTTTTCGACCTCTCACATTCATATCCACATCCGCACCCAAGCGATGGAATAAGGCATTCACGCACTTGAGCTTTCGAAGGATGTGGGATGTGAGGTGTGGGTGTGAGTGTAGGCACAAAGAAGATTCACACCCACACCCTTTTTCATGCATAAGCTTGTTTTAATTGAAGCAGATACAGCTGGAGTGATTGAATAGTGCAGTGCACATGTATACCGAGGGTGGTAGTAACGCTACTCTTCCAGTTTGTCATTATTTATCACAATAAAATACACATTGCAATAGTAACGAAATAGAACATCAGCTCTCTATCTATCGATCTCTCATTTTCATTACATATAGGATTTTAAAATTTTAATCAATTGTAATTGCTAAAACTTATCACTGGATATCACCCAGAAATAAGATTAAAATCGACTCGACTTCTTTTGTCCATATACTTTCTTCATGAGAGTTGATTTTTCGAGAGACTTTTTCCAGAAAGACAAGCATGCCAATCGATGGAATTCATTCAATCACTGCACTCTTTGATTGATGTTTATACAGAAGAGTGAAAAAACCGTCTTTTGTGAAAAATCCAGGACGCTTCTCCTATTCTGTGAATAAGGACCTTTTGCTGTCATATTCCAATCTTAGATTTTAATTCAGTATATTGATATTCAAATAGTTTTTTTTCGGTCGTCTATATCATCGAAAAGGTTATCAAAATGTTACGTGTCTATGTCCCATCGTTTTTTTCTTGTTTGTAGCTACTCTTTACTATTAACTTTAATCTTATTACTAGTATAATAATGTTAGAAACTAGATATACTTACGTGCAAGGCGATACTGGAGTGTACAGACTTTGCTTGTGTGTGCTTGCAATCGATTTTACTCTGTATTTATTACTGACAACATTACTTGGTTTTTTCCCACCAACGTATGTTTACGTGAATCAATGAAGCATAACTTTTTCATCAGATAGATAATTTTTTTCATCCGTGTGCATTTCATCATATGTATTGCGCTCTTCATATATTCTTCCTCTTTTTTTCACTTAGCTTTGCGTTTCGTGTTGTTGCAATGAGAAAAAAATACACTGGTATTTGCATATGCGTAAATTCGAGTTGTAATGATTCATTGGACTTTGAACTTTATATTAATCTATATAAATATCTTCTGTTGTAAAATTCTTTCATTAAACTGATAATTACACAAGCAGTGTTGAAAGCTCCTATATAAGTAAATAAAAAATTTTATATTTTTTATTTTACCATTCGGTTTATTAAAGGGTGTGGGTGTGGGTGTTGGGTATGGATTTGTTGATATACTCTTCACACCCACATCCATCCCATGAGGAAGAATGCTTTATCTTCCCTCGTAAGACTAGGACTTCATTCCAATAAAGACACTAAAAGCACAAGTCAGAAGAAATTAAAGACTCATTTCGTATCTGAAAGCCACTCTATTGAGTTCTCTAAATTGATAAGAGTTGCATTTTAATAAGAAAGTTTCTATTATTACTTATACCTGCATTGAATAACAGCTGTCAAAAAATGACAAACAAGATAGATAAGTTCGAATGAAAGATTTTCTACGACCAATATAAGATTATAGCACTAGAAAACTTCGATTTGATTAAACTTATAAACAATAAAATTGAAAGATCTTAATTTTTCGTTAAGTAAAGGACATTGTTTGAGTATATCGATATTGTTGAATTAAATATTGATATTGACGAGATGAAAAATTACTACTAAATAGTCATTCTTTTGTAATCAATTTAGTAGAAAGAAAGATTTTTTTGATCGTATTATAGTAGAAATTGTTGATACTTTTAATAAATAAGCAGTCATGATCGGTTTCGACCTTGCTTAAAGGTCTGATCAGATGGCTGCTTATTCATATTGTAGTCATACATTTTACCACTGTATCTCCTCTATCTTATAGGGGTTGATTGCAGTTTTGTCGTTATTTTATGACGATGAATTTGAATAATGTCATCTGATGAGTTCTTTAAGCAAGGACGAAATCGATCATGGTTGCTTATTCTTCAAGCACTTGTGTCTTACATCATTTTGACACTTAATACTTATTGTTATCCAAATGGCGATCAACGACGCATTCTGCACACAAGTACAGTTGTCGATATTCGTGGTGTATCAGATTCCATCGCTTCGGCTGATCTTGTTGTCAACACTGTCTATATTATGATGTCGAATGATTTCGATGGTTCATTGTCACTCTCGAATATTTCCCAAACAATTTGTCGTTCTATTGTTCAATTACGTAATAATCCGAAATTTTTGGAATCATATCTGGCAACTACCGATGGACTGATAAGACACATGGTACAGGATAAACAATTACCTAATATGGTCATTTTTTCGAACAATATTTTTGTCAATTCCAGTTATAAATACAACTGGACAAACCTTGTCGATTTTGGCTATAGAGATAAATGTCATTATTATATGACATGGGCCGGTAGATTGTCTCTATGTGTATATCGTCTTGATCCAGTGTACGATGGCACACAATGGATAACAGCAGATCGAGATGGAGTTGAAGTGACATTTGTTATTGAAAATGATATGAAGGAGAAATTTATTAAGGCATGGCAACAAGATGTCAATGAAAACTTTGATAATCTGAAAAAATAAAGCTATAATTCATTTCATAACAATAAATTTCTATACTCGTCTAGAGTAATGAAATTGTTATTAAAAGCCGTCATGCTTTAAGCCAAGAATATCTTTGCTTTCTAACCGTCGATTTTTTTTTGTAAAACTGAAAATTTATTGGTTTTCATTTTTACAAGGATGTCTACTGCTATGTTATTAAATTACATTATGTATTATCATCAGATTCGTGGAGCTGTTTATCAAAGCAAATTTCTATCGGTACAATTAAGATTTCCGATCATAAAATACTACTTCTTTTAATTCATAATAGCTTCTACAGAGATGTACTTATTGAAAAAAAAAGTGGCTTTTGTTGCCATGAGCCTTAGTTGGGTTACGAAAAATATCAGAAAAAACCAGAAAGATCCGCCTTACATGAAAGCTGGACGTGATTACCATTTCAGACGTGATTAAACATGCGCTCTGATCAAACAAACAATTCGTTCGAGAATTATTTCTATAACAGGTCTAATCCTCAGTTTAGAATTATATATGAATCTTGTATGTTGTATGATGCTTGCTACGATTGTACTTTAGCTTGTCAAGATATAATTCTCTTAATACAAATGCACGACGGTGTAGTCTGTTTATATTTAATAATTAAGAAAAAAATGTTTTGCAGCAACGATTGGTAAAACGAGAAGCAAGTGATGTTCCATAAATGGTAGTCGAAAGTAGTTATATTCATTGATAGGAACGAGTAATGATGAAAGATCTGCATCTTTCATATTTTTTTCAGCAGTAATATACTCGCTTCCAACGTACACATCTATGTTTGTGCAATATTTTGTTCTATAGCAGAAAAATGATTTCGAAGGTTCCAATTCTATTTAACTCTTCTGTTGTGTATCAAATTTTCGTCTATATTTTCTGTTAAGAAGAGATATGATGATGTTGTTTTCGTTTTATCTCTCTCCGTTTATGTAATAAACAACAAGTGTATAGATACGAATATGAAAACAAAGACACAAGAGAAAGATGCGCAAGAGTCAATCGAGGACAAACAAAGGAGGAATCGAAGTGAATATATGATATCAGAAGAATAGAGAAATAATCAAAGAAAAGAGAATAGAGATGATCGAGGTATGTATGACAGTAGTATACTTTAAGATTTTTAATGAATATTATGGTAGACTATTTATTATGCACTGTGATAGATTTCAACGTTCTGTTGACCAAATTCATCAATCTCTTTTTAACGCGACAGTACTCTGTACAAATCGAGTTTGGTTATTTTTTGATGTAAAAATCTATACAAATTAGCAGCTTAACCTGATACATGTCACCTTTTTTTCTTGATCATAACACACGTTAAAAATGTTTTTTAACAAAGTATTACAAATTATTTTACGTCAATCTCTTCATGCCTGTAAACCACTAATTCATATAGATTTGCACATGAAACGAATTTGGGCTTATTGATCAATTAATCATAAGAAAAACCCTGATACCACTTGAACAACTTGGTTTTTTTTTATAAATTTGCCAAATAAGGAACACACGCAATAAATGGATTTCATTTTTTCGAAAGTATATTTTGTTCTCTTCAATATAACTAAACATTTAGATAAATGTCTTTTTACGTCATATTCAGGCATGTCAATGCGTTTGAAATATCAAAAGACTTTTCATACAACTAAAAGTAACATTCTTTTTGTCAAAAGCTATCCTTCAGAAAAATATTTCGAAAATCTTTCTTTGTTGCAATTAATCGTTCACATACCAATCATATGATCAATATAGCTTATGGATTATATTGAAAAGAATCTATGAGAAACAAAATCTTTTGTTCAAAACTAATGTGAAAAAACCCATTCATTATAATCATTATTTTAATAGTGATTAAAACGAAAAGAAATTTCTGTCGATAACTAAACACACAAGTCATCATAAATTTTTTTTTGTTAAAAAATAATTAATTTGTCTTCATCTTATTCCTATGTCAAATGTTTCTATAGAAATCTCTTTGAGATATGAAGGCTTCAAATAACAAAAAAATACGGAATATTATTTCTTCTTTAACACATGAGAAACTTAGCATATTGATAAGAATGATAAAGCACGTTTAACTGTTAAAAACGATATCATTTAAGAAAGGAGACTAGTGATAACAATGAAAAGTTATTTATTGTGCCTGATTTTATTGTCATTAATTTGTTTGGATTGGATAACAATAAATGATTATTCAGTAACAACATAAAATGAAAATACTACAGATCGTCCAAAAACATTAACTACATTTCAAATTAATAATTATCCATCAAAATATGTTAGAGGATTATATAATCGAATCGACACTTATACTTATGATAAAAATAATGAAACTATTTATTTTTTAATGTAACAAACACTTCATGATAATATCGAAGTTTTTAAAATATAATATCAAAACTAATCAAATTGATCAAACAGAACAAATTCAACGTATTATAATTGATCATATACAATTTAATCCAATGAGTAATAAATTATATGCAATTATACATGATTCAACAAAACAAAATTATTCCTTAGTAGGAAGTTGATACAGAAACCTTAGAAATAAAACGACAAGTTATGCAACTTTTTAATCGTATATCACCAATGCCTGAAAGTTATTTTAATTCTCAAACACAATTATTTACCTATCATGCTTATAATTTTAAACAAGATTATACTGTATTTAATTACATTAGATTTATCAGATAATGTAACAAAAAGATTTGTTCAATCAAAAAAAATAAATTTGATTTTAATGTTTATGGTTTTGGTTATATTCAACCACATAAATTAGTTGCATTATGGCAATATAGTATTATAACGCCAATGGTTACGATCGAAATAGATGAACAAACGGGAGAACAAATTCAAAATGTAACTATAACAGCTAACGGTGTACGAATAACTCAAGGTTATAAACTATTTTCAAAATAAGTTATTTTATGTTTTGTCATAGGCTGAGGATTTATCGAAAACATATATTTCCAAAATTAATATGAAAATAATGAATGTCCAATAATTAAAGAGCAAATTATTAAAGATTATATTTTTTTTTATAAGCGAGAATAATCATCAAATGAAATATTCATATTCATTTTAAAATAAAAAGGCAAGAGTCTGTCTAATTTCAATAAGTATAAGCAGCCATGACTGGTTTCGATCTTGCTTAAGAGTCTCATCAGGTGGCATGTTCTTAATGTAGTTATACATTTTAACACTGTATCTCCTCTATTTTATAGGGATTGATTGCAGTTTCATCGTCATTTATGATGATGATGATGAATTTGAATAATGCCATCTGATGAGACCTTTAAGCAAGGTCAAAATCGATCATGGCTGCTTATTCAAATGAATTCTAAAACAGTCAAAAAAACCATTTGCTAATCAAAATTAGAATAAATCTTGAAAGATTTGATTGGATAAAGCGACAATTCATAGTTGATGCTGTATTAATATAAATAGTAACCAATCGATCATTGTCATGCCGATTATATAGCCAAAAGTTTACAACATAGGAACGTCCGTTAATCGTATTGATCGCTCGAGAAATATTTACATTAGATAACTGTGTCGAAACACTACAGGAGTAGTTTCCACGATTTACAATTGATCCATTCAAAACACTGATTACCAATGCTGAACCACAAACACAATATTCATTTAATGTACCATCTTCAAAACTACCGTTTTCAATGACTGTTCTGTTGGTCAATATATCAATTGCTGACAAATCATCTAAATACCATTCTGAACCACTTTGAAATTCAAAAACTATTGAATCCTTGTTCGACTTTCCCTTGTACGTATATGAATAGAATCTATATCGATTCACTGGAGTAGATATTTTGCCTAGTTTAATGTAATTATTATTATTCTTTTGGTCTTTGATCGAGCATGAATTCAATCCTGAAATACAGACATTAAAAAGGAAATGTCAATTGATTGTATACAATGTAGGATAAATGAATAGTGCAAACATATTGTAAGTTTTCATTTTGGAATCAAACTATTTAATCGGGTTGTTTTTGCTTCTCATGTTTATATTTTATAGTATTTGTTTGAGAAAAATTTGAAAACCGACATATACTGCTTTACTTCTACACTTTACGACCAAAACGACTCTATTATATTGTGCTGTTATTTTTCAATTTATGATAGAAGTATAAATGAAAGCTACCTGAAAAGTTACGCCAAAGTATTAGACTTAAATGTCGACACATAGTCATCGGTAATTTGTTTAATATTCTATGGTACAATCGAGTAAGACAAAGATTATACCGATGATATATATAAGATATAATTTAGTTTTGATTACATACCCATAACTCCTGTTATGCCATTACAATAGGTAGAATTTTTCGCTTTCATGAAATATACTATTAATGGGATGAATATGACGAGGAAGATAAAGATCACCCAAAACGAACACTTGCAAACGAATGATGAATCTTTTCTGCAACAATGATAGCAATTTTTACAGCGTACTAAACAGGAATCACACAGGTCAGAACATTTGTCTTTTATAGTTCTTTCATATCGAAAGTTACGTCTTGGTATAGGATTATAAGATTGTATTGGTAGAAATCGGTGATTTGGTACAATAGGTGTCGGTAATGGAATATTTTGTTCTATTGTAGAAATTCTTGATAGTTCATGATTAATATCTGAAGTAGGATTACTTGTTCGTCTTAGTCGTCGCTGTCTTCTTCGTTCTTGAGAGCTGAGTGGTCGTAGTGGCTTTCTCAAATTGAATGGTTTACTTGCATAATGATGAGTTATAGCTTCACATACTGCTTCATCTCTACGTATATCTTTGAGATGAAGAGGCTCTCTTGTTAATGGACTTGTTCCTTTTTCTCTAATCCATTGTATGATTTCAGCACGTTCATAAATATGTCCATCACCAGCAATTACAGGATCATGAAAGCGTTCAAATGTAATTGGACAGACTAATTCATCTGCTGATACATTCTCTATTCGTTTAAGAACAATGTTAATCGTGTCAATATCAGTGCTTGCCATTCGTTCACTATTATAGAGTGTGACGCAATGATGACTTTGCTTCACTTTGCTACCAAGATGGATGGATTTTTTTTGGATGTTTAAAAAAATGCGCAAACTATTGTATGATCTATATGAATCTGATTTCTAATGGTAATGTTTATTCAACGAGTGAACAGCAAAGCAACGTGTTACGCATGTTTTTTTTTCTTTTCTGTCGTCATGATTGCTGCTTTAAATTCATTTAAATTTATAGTCAATGACAGAAAAAAAACAATTCTTTCAAACATACGTTTGACTCATAAATTCAACGGGGCTACCCCGTACAAAATGCAAGTTCCATTTTCTTCTTGCTTTCTTGTTTCATAAGTGTGTGTGTATTAGCATACAAAACTGTCGTACATGGCTATTGTAAAGTTATTACAATAATTCGAATGAATAGATCATAGTGGATTTTTATAACTTTATATAATAGGATATATATGTAGAACAGTGTTTTATCGGGTGAGTTTATGAATGTACAATTTATTAGATTTAAGATCTTTATTTTTACCAATCTTAAGTGAAAAATTTGTTCAAACGCATTGAAATACTTAAAAAAAAAACAATTATTGTTGGATGTAATGAAAGTTTTCTCTACTACTCTTTCTGCTTGAGAGTGTGGATGGGTGAAGAAAAGTTTCACAGCAAAACTCACACTAACACCCACATCCTCTAATTTCAACCAAAACTCTCTAAGATATCTATTCAAAAAGGCTTTTACCGTTCTACTGAATAGCTTCGTAATATATATTCGAAGGATCCATTAAAAATAAAAGAATTTTCCGAGATGGACTTTCTTTTGAATCCATGTTTCTGTTGTAGGTGTGTTAACTATATTTTAATAGAGATACTGCTAAACATTGAAGGTTCGATTCGATGTGAATCAGTTTCCGATGAACGTTACTTGTTTTTTCATGATCGCAATCGATACTTGGTTCTAGCACAACATAAGAAAAAAACCTTCACCGTTTGCAAAAGAGCCAAAAACCCTGATATTCGAAAGGCGTAAGTTTGCTTTGTATAGATTGTCAACAAAACAGGAAACAGAACACAAAAGTGGCGCTACTATATGTTCTTTCTTGGTGCTAGTAAGATGCGTTGCAGACTATCTAGCTGATTTCGAACGAGGATATGCTATTAGTCTCGATCCATTACGTGATAGACCTTTGAGTACATCGAATCGATCTTTACCGATATCTGCACTACTAGAAAATTCTCGTTATATAATGAACCATACAACTGAAACTATTGTCAACAATTTGTTTATTGATCTCTGGTCAAGTGAAACATCGTATGAATCATAGGATATTTTGTTTACTGTAATAAAATTTTATCTCAAAGTTAACGTGTCGATTTTTTCGATTTTTTCTCTAATGATTCTCGTTAGTACTCTCTATTAATACGGTCCTTGATTTGTTGTCGTTCTTTGACTCTTTGCAATTCTCATTTGTCACTTTTCTATATTCTGTTTATCATTATTCATATAACATCAGTATAGCTTTTGCTGAGTTTCTCTGTAACTTCCTCAATACTATCATAATTCCTATTTATCGATGGAAGTTGTTGTCTTGAATAAGTTTTTTACCATACAAATGTTGATGGATGTTCTATCGTTTGACTGACACAATACACTAATCTATGCAATTATCTTTTGATAAAAAAAAACACATTGAAACAGGAACGAACCTTCGCTGAGAAAATCATAACAGAATTATCAATAGACAAAAGAGAAGGGAAATTCTAGTGTGATGATTTTGATGACATCATATTGTCGAACCCTGACCTGTAGGTGAATGACAAGTGTAAAAATAATTTGCTGGTGCGATAATTGATTTCGTATTCGACTTATAATCAACATGTCGAGTTGGTAGACTAAATCAACAAATATAAGTAGGAGAACAATGCCTCCAATAGAGCTAGCGGTTCTAATGATATGCTTGTCTTGTTTATAAGGTTGTTTGAAGGAGTAACAATACATATAAATCGATTTC